TTTTTCCACCATGATAAAATTGATGAGTTACTTCCGTTTCTTTGCCTTCTTTAATTCGCCCCTGTTTATTAACAAAAACTAAGCGATTCCCGTCGCGAGAAAAGACGTATACGTAGTTTTGTCACTTTGGTAGGCAATGGTAGGCAAATTATCCAAAAGTTTGCAACAAGCAATGCAGTATGAACATATGAGATTAGCTCCTAATCTATACCAATTTGTCGGTAAGATAGCATTCACAAAAGACAATTGTTATTTCAGATACAAAAGTGTATTCCAGCCTTATCATTCTGTGAGTATCCTGGGACCCAATGATGGTGTAACTGTATGAGGATTCCGACATTTATGAACTTCATATACATAACTGGATTCAGTTAGAGAAAATATCCTATGCATATAAATGAGGATACAGTTCGCGACATATTCAGAGTATAATGAGAGAACTCAGGCATACCAAATTCTGTTGTTCAAAATGATACTGCCGTTCCTGGTGCAAACGGTATTCCTCTAGGGGACATAAAAATATACCAGGGCGCGCTTGAAAAATGGCAGTTTTAAAATCGCTTATCTTTGTCAGATACGTTTCCTTTAGATAAGTCTGACGAATTTATTTGTAGTAAGTATTAATAGTGAGCAACGTAAATAACTTCACAAGTTTATTTACTCACTTAGGAAACAATAATTAATCATTGATAATATAATCACCATCTAGTATAGTGTTTGCCAACGATTATAGGAAGAGTAAATGGCAGACCTATAAAGCTACAACAGTTTGGATTTTAAGAAGTAGTTTTCTAGATCCTGTTGTAACTGGGGTTCATCGTCAAAGCTTTTCGGAAGTCCAGCAAATATGTAGGGTGGTGTACAATTTTCCAGTTCTAGTAACGATATGAGATTGAACGTTGTCATGGGAAAAATATATTATTCCATGTTTTGGACGCTTACAATGAAGTTAAAGTTTTAGATTTTGCAGTTGATTATAGTAAACTGTTGCCGTAGTCGTGGTATTAGCAATAAGCATTCTTCAGTATATTCAAATCATCTTGCGAGGATAAAGAAATCTTTCTGGCGTAAATTTGTCTGGTTTGCTGGGACCACTGACTAAAAAACTAAATCATAAAGAGAAGGGTAGAAGCAAATGGATAACTAAAGGGTTGATAAAATCTACAAGTGAGAAAGAAAGAGACTATAAATTGATCAGAGAATCACCAACGAAAGAAAACAGAATATTATAATCGATACAACAATAAATTTATAGAATCTGTACGAGAAACAAAACAAAGATACTATTTGGAGAAACTAAATGATAATTCACACAATTCAAAAAGACCACGGACTACTGTTAATGATATTTTCAGTGGAAAGCAACGATCTGGAAATGAAATTACTCCATTGAAAACGGAAAATCCCAGAGCTGAACATCTGAAGATGATGGCCAAGCAAATATTAGAACCATTTGCTTATTATATGATTAATAAATATCTGCGGTCTGAAATATTTCTCTCAGCTTTTAAGGCCCGTATCGTCAGTCGTCCCTACAATTGTAGGGCGCGTTTATGGCATTCTTGATTGTCATACTCCTTTCTCTCCTTCAAAAATTTCTAGATTACACTTGTCCCGTGTCAGCGTCAGCGCTCTCCTATTGTGAAGATACGTTTTCCTTTCAAATTGAAGGGAATTTCAGGCTGATAAAACATGATATAACTCAAAAGCAAGCACAGTTTGATGCAAATAGATGTTTGTGAGATAACCTCAAAATAGAGCACTGACATGGAAAAATAGAAAACTATGACAATCAAGGAGGCCATAAAGGCGCCCTACAATTCTAGGGACGACTGACGATACGGACGTAGGTCAGCTGTTATCATTCCTATCTATAAAACAGACAAATAATATGGACGTTACAAATTATTGACCAATATCACTCATATCGTCTTTGACTAAGGTAGGACTCTCTAGAAATATGATAAATTTTCTTGATAAATTTAAAGTTCTAAGTCCAAATCAATCCGGTTTTGTAACAGGAAAATCTACCACAGATGGTTTACTAAGTCTAGTGAATCAAATCACAAAAAACCTTGATGAAAAGATTTCATCTCTTTGTTTATTTGCCGATCTGTAAAAGGCATTCGATACAATTAATCACAGTTTACTGTTAAATATTTTAGACAAATTAGGTTTTAGTGGGAAAATATATTCTTTGATGCAAAGTTATGTATCAAAAAGGCCCCAAGTAGTTAAACTATCAACATCATACAGTAAGGCAATGCTTGTCAAATGTGGTGTACGTCAGGCTACAGTGTTAGGCCCCCTTTTATTTAATATTTATTCGAATGATATACTCAATATTAACTGGTAAGTAAATTAATTAGTTTTGCTGATGATACGGCAATTCTATATACATATAGAGCAAGACTTGTATGATGTAAAGAGAATAATTGAGAATGACTTATAAAATCACTCATTTTTTCAACACTAGAAAACTAACAGTGAACTATGAAAAAACGCATTTCCTACCCTTCACATCATACGCAAGACATCCACCCGATTATTCAAATATTTTCTTTAAAATAAACAATACAAATTTAAAAATTGACAGAGTGGATAATATCAAATATTTGTGAATTTTTTTAGACTAACATTCAAAATTCAAATAAAATTAAATTCCTCGCAGGCATATTGACAGAAAATTATATGCGTGCTATATATCGTGCCTTAATTGATCCGCACCTAAGGTATGGTATACCTATTAGCATGGGATACAGCATGTCCAGTTTAGTTAAACGACAGTAGTTTTACAGAGAACTGTTTTAAAAATTATGTTCAAAAAACCAAAATTATATTCAACAAATGATTTATATAACGAAACAAAATTATTTGATATCAAAAAGCTTATTTTTACATATTATCAGCAATTATCACAAAGTTGTCAGTGAACGCGATAAAATCACACATTGCCATGATACACGATATAAATCACGAGCAAAAACTGACCCTAAGTCTCATAAAACAAAAATGAAGCTATCTTTTCTCAATTTTGCTCCAAAGTTACATAAACACATACCCAAAGACTTTAAACAACTTTGAAGTACACAATTTTAAAAATAAATTATCAGAAACATTATTGAATTCCTATCAAATATTCTTTAAAAATTATGATCCTCTACATACACATCTCTTTGATATAAGATTTTTTTAAGTTTCTTTTTACATTTTGTTTTGATTTTGGAACACATTCCAACATACGGCTGATCCATGTACAGGCATTGTCCTTCTATTGATTGAAACATTTATTTACCCACTCTATCTTGTTATTCTTATATAATGAAGTAAATAAATGTTTACTACTACTACTAACTGGTTGATATATGTAGATCTTTTCGTCTCCAGCGAGATGGTCTAGTCAGTTGAGCCTACCTCTGCTCGATATTGATATTTGCTCAACTGGTGGGGTACCAAGAAACGAAACTTGTAAGTGCAAGTGATTTTCGTGCCACGAGAGCATCCGAGCTCAGAAGAAAAATTACACATACTGCTTCGAAAATCTTCATGTCTCTTGTTTATTTATGTTTCCACTGGTCGCCCAGACCTCAGTTGATGTACCATGGAATAGTAACTACTGCCTGATTAGTTGGAACCACCACTTTGATGTTGCCTCGGAGATTGCGTCATGAGCTATCCTTTGACCTATGTTACGTGCAGTTTCTGCGGCAGAATGACCAGATGACTATAGTAAACAATGTCAGCCATGGGTTTTAATATCGCTCATTTTTTGTTGTACTTCAAGCAATGACAGCTGAAGTATTACTGATATGCATGATCATGACTCTCTCTTTATATATGAGTCCTCCATCATAGAATGTTCTTGACTATACTCACCTTTCTAAAAAAGACTGTGGATAATAATTACAAAATAAGAAATTAAGATGTTCAGTCGTAGTGTACGCGATGTAACTTTGAGTATTCGGGGCCCGAAAGGTTTAAAATATTGACAAGTGTTGCTAAGTTCAGTTGTTATTTTTTTAGAACTGGTTTAGAACGAATAAAGTTCACTGATGGTGTGCAGTGTTTTTATTCTATAAACAGTAAAAGTGAAAACCATAACAATGCCCATTATAAAGGGTCTTTCGAACGATTGGGAGGACTGTACTTGCATTTACTGTACCGACCTTTATTCAAGCTCTAAGCTCAGAGAAGACTACTTGCGGCGCTTACAATGTTCGCTTTAGGCTCACGCTTCTTGGGCTGATGTTCCAAGAAGAACTAAGCGTCTCATTTGCGAATTATGTCATTAATTTTGTAGCTATTATTTGTATGTAATTTTGTCCATTAGCAATGTGTCATTTTGTCCGAAGCATATAGACAAAATGGATTATGATTGATCTCAGTTAAATATTTTTTGTTTTTTTTTCTGTAGATTTTTCCTAAAAATGTTTATTAGTTTCGATAATTTAGGGACCAAAGATGATTGATGTAAGCTATGGATATGCTGCGAACTACCAATAAAAAGTTATGATACAAAAACAAAACTGAATGTCATTCCCCTATGTAGGTATATGAGGTCTGCGTGGCGGCTTAAGTATAAAAAATTGTTTGTGCTTCACGCAGTGATATAGTAGTTCAATTATTACTGACGCGCGTGAAAGATAGCGAGCTGGAAATTTGTATGTGGCTTTATTTTGATGTTCTATCTCATGACTGGAAATCCTTATTCTGGATGTAGGAGAGCGTTATCTGGAAATTTCAATAGCAAATTCAGCACGTAAGGAATTAGAAAAAGTTTTATATAAACATGGATACGGCAATTCCTGGCTTGCTAATATCGGATATTTAAATTTTAAATAATCCCCTGCTACGTGAGAGAAAATTGGCTTCCGCTCATTGGAAGGGAATCTATACCGTTACTAGTAAAAAAATATCTAAAAGAAACTCTCAGCAGTTATTATAATAAATTCGAAATCATTTTCCATGCCTCTAACTTCTGATGTGATATTTTTTTGCAGACATCCAGCGATGGCAACACCACCACCAGCACACTCTCCTTCGTCCCGAAAAAAGATGACGATGGCAAATATTTGTCGTGTAAGGCGGAAAATAAAATCATGAATACCGAAGCTCTGGAAGATAGATGGAAGCTGGAGATACACTGTAAGTACACACATATTCGTTCATTCCCCTATTCGGACGTGGAAGAGTATTCTTTGGTTGAGTAAAATTTAAATTAGAATTTCATTAGAGTACTTTTAGTTCCTTTGGATTCCTTGGATATGCAGGTTTTAAACTATTGTTTTTATAATTGCCAACGTTTCCGCAAGTGAAGCATTGAAATGTAAAAGTTTGTTATCCCTTGGGACGCATTTTGTGTCTGATTCGATAGGTAAGGTTAGCTTTTATATAGTTAATCACGTTTGTTGTTGTTTTCAAATCCTATTTTTAAATCATATTTTTAAAATTATATGATAATTTTTTAATATGAACACACGTTTAATGTCAATATTTTTGTGGTTTTTATGTCTGTGTATTTTCCAGGTCAATTTTTTCAAGTGAACCTTTTTATTTCATTGCTACATTTACGACTTTAAGATTTTATATTATTTATGTATCTTTTAAATTTTCTTTAGCCCTGGAGAATGCGAAAGATAAACGCCAAAACGTTGGTAATTTCAAAAAGGGCACTTATCAGCACCTGGATATCAAAAGAATGCAGAGAAATTGATTTCTTTTGTGTTTTATGACAGATACATTTAACATATACAATAAAAAACTATGCCACTTCGCTTTGTTGCAAGTAGAGCTTGGTATTTCTCTCAGTTTAGCCATCTCTATTTCTTTGCGATTGAAAAGCTACAAATCTAGTTTAGTTAAATATTCCGTAGTCGTCCTAATAATGGCTCATTTTCCAACTTTGGTGTGCTGTTACCATTGATTACTCGCCAAAATCCGTTAGTCGTACGCCATACATCCCATGGCGGTAATGCTTGCAGTATTTCTTCATAGTGAGTAGCGGTTTCATACCAAATGTATTAGTCATCTACTCTCTGTCGTACACATACAAAAATGAGTGACTCAACTTGCTCAAACCTCTTACATTTTCTGGCCTCCAAAAACTACCGATTGCATAAGCGCCTAGGATGGTTCACAAAGCATCTAGATAATGTCGAAATAAAATGGGAGGTAGAGAAGCGCCACTCAGCGGTAAAGGCAGCTGGTGGCAACGTGTTTGAAATGATATTGTGGATCCAAAATCCTACAGGCAGTTTAACTGAGGTATCTGTAGTGAACGCAGTTAGTGGGGTGCTGATGATGATTTAAAGGCGAATATTGTTATTCCAACATATTTGCAATTTGAAATATCGTCGCCTAACACAACGTAACTCAAAAAATTAAAATATGCATTTACTTGAGAAAGGTAACCGTGATTGCCGAAACGTCGTCAGTAGACATTATTTCAAGCATATATGAGGTTTCATTTGCGGCCAGACAAACATGGAGGATTATATATCGATAGCGAATCCAAAGACCCAGCGTTTGTTTTTACTCTCCTAAAGAGTTGTTATTTTTGAGTTACGCGGTGTTAGAATTCAAGCGATGATATGTTCTTTTTATTTATCAGCTGTGGTGTTGGTACAATTTCTGGAGAGTAACCATTCAACATTTTTGTATGATTCACGAGTTGACAGCACCAAAGAGAAGACAATATGAGACAAATCAATCATTTAGTTTTACATCCTACGTAAATGAGCAATGACAAACATTTCCAAAGTATTTTCAATTTTATATTTTTATGGCGTTTCATGATATACCCAAAAAGAATGGTTGTAGACTCTGTGTATGTTGCGAGAAAATAGATGTGTTCCATTTTCTACTTTATATATATATACTCTTTAGTCTTCTGTATGTTAATCATTTTGAAAAGCAAAGTGATTGTTTTCACCTACACTGTAAAAGCTTTTAGGATGTAAGCATTGAGTTTTTAAATTCTGATGGCTTTTCTTGTTATTAACTTTAGCGTCTTTACAACCATTTTGAAACTAGTGACCGTGCAAGTTTTGTTAGAATCGGTATAGCGGTTATTGAGATTGCACGGTGTCAAGGAAGCCAGAACGACAGGTGGGTTATCGCCAATAAGTGCAATGCTAAAACACCTACTTTCCAAGCCGCAATACTTTCCAGAAAATGCTATTTGTCGTATATCGTTTAGTCACTAAAAATAATAATCTTTATCACCCTGTATGAACACGATAACGCTATAGCATGCCAAATTACGCATTACTATGTAGAAATCAATAAAAGGTATGAAACCGTTCCAGACAAAATAGCCGCCAGTAGCCCTTCTTCTCTTCATGGATATTTCATGGTAGCCTCCCGGCAGTAAATCATAAACAAAAAAACCTATTGTATAGCGGTATGTATAATGGTGTATGGATATAGGGTTGAAGGGTGTACGTATAGCTAGACATACACGCTAATAATATGGAAAGCAGCCTGGCTTAGAAACTATGGAGATTCAGGTTAATGATTTTTCAAAAAGTAATTAAACATTGTATTTGTCGTCATGGCCTTTAATAGCGGCACGGCTATTATGTAAAAAGCCTATGAAACGTCAAAAAAATACAATATGTACTATGTGAGAAAATTATTACTGAGTATGCTGCCAGTGAAGTATGTAGCTGTGCTCGATGGGTTATTTATATTTTGACCTCTCTGAAGACAGGTTATGTTCAAAGTCATAAACTACGATATTCCCGTTGTTGACTCATCGCACATCAAACATTTTCGCAATCCCTCACGTCTAGGCGTAATTTGTATTTTCTATTGACATCGCAAAATGAATTTCTATAAAATATGAATGACTGGAAATAAAAATAATGTAATAACCTTTCCCCTTCCATAAATATTCCTGTCTGTAGCATATATCATATATCATATTTGCATATGAAATTTCCAGAATTACTAGGAATAAGTGGATGCGCAACTAATTTCTAGCTTTGAATCTCAAATAAGTGTATTTGAGACAATAAACTAATGGAACTATCATCGACTCATATTATTAGCACACAAATCCTCATTATTCACCTATACACCGCCGTTTCCTTCTAGATCTATTTCACAAGTGTCTATCAGTATACTAGTTATAGAAAAAGCCACATAATGTCACAAAAAAAAAACAATATAATGTCAAAAAAATCGTACATAGTGGCAGTTGTCGTTTTGGCAAAAGAGCTGATAGCATATTTACACCTAACAGAAAAGCTTAGGCTAAAAAATGGCAGTTATAGAGATAATTTGCTTTTGTACGAGTATATGCATATGTATAAGCGTTCGTATACCATAAGTTAGTGAAGCTGAGCGACTTTTTGGGTTGAAAGGCAGCGGCCAAGACATTTGCCTTTCATAAGGTTCATCTAATTTAAGCATAATATGATATGATCTACCCGTGTGAATATTTTGGTAAATATATCATTACTGTCCCTCTGTTCCTCTACCTACATCCCACCGATACACTCCCAGCGCTTGAAAAGCCAGGATCCATGATTTGTTCTGACTGCGTATGGTGAAGTATATATATATATATATATATATATATATATATATATATATATATATATATATATATATATGTATATATATAAGTGAAAAATTAAAGCTTCCGCCTTTTGTTGGGTACTTCGACAAATAGCTTTCAATGGACTTTGCCATCATCATCAGGAGCTGCAATTACAATGATAACAGTAGCAACAAAAGTGTAAAATGAATTTAAATTGAATCAACTTACAGTAGTATGTGAGGATGTTGCTAATTGTTGTTTTCGTATAGGATGAGGGAAACGTCCAGTAACATGGTGAGAGCTGGATACATGGTACAATGGTTAAAATTATATAAAATATGACAAGACAAGTTAGACAGATTAAAAATTATTTAGAAAACATTAGAGCATTACGTCGTGAAGCCACTTGATGATTGTCGAAGTACCCAACAAAAGGCGGAAGCTTTAATTTTTCACCTAACTGGTCTAGACGACAATGACCACGTCTCAAGTTATATATATATATGGAAGCAGACTTGGCTGTGAAGACAAACCAAGTAATGTTGCATATAAACAGACAATTCATCTATAAAATTGTCATTATTTGTTTATTACCAACAACATATAAATATCATCTAACCCTAATCAGTTTAAATCATCGTGACACATGGCATGAAATATACTTACAGGCTCCTTAAAGTATCGTCATTTTTGGAGGCCGTCCAGTAAGACCTACTATTGGTTTGTTGGTCTGCTTGCTCACTTTCATAGCTGCAAAAATTGTCAGCTACAAGCCTCTCGCCGAGCATGTATTCCGACTGTCTCTGTTAGTTAACATATCTACCTCATTCGAGTAGCTGATTACTAGTATCCTTGTGGTCGTTCCAATTTGTGCAGTTGACGTATTCTGTTTCCTACCGTCCTTGGGCAGCTGTCCATGTCCTGCAAGTTACTTGTATAATAATCTGTCTGCACCGCTCCTTTGTCGATTTAAGTTTTAATATCTGAATTCAGCCTTTTAGTCCATGCACCATCAACAGATTCATCTCATCGCTCCTGCCATATAGCAAAAAGCACTGCTCGTTCATCGTATCTAGCTTCCGGGCATTTATTATAGAGTGGGCATCTCTCCTTAGCCAGCAAATCAATCATTTTACAGAGAAAACCAAATTTCTCTGACGGCTTGCGTTCAATGTATACGACAGAGAAGCGCCAAAAGTGTGTATCCAGACATGTTAGAAAGAGATAAACCGTCAGAAGGGCGAACGTTGTCATCACATTGTCTAGCAACGGTGAAGCAAAAGGTCATGCAAACTGCAGCGTTGCCAATATGTTACACCAGAAAATGTTGGCACAGGCGTCTACAATACGTAACTACCTAAATACTCATTTTGCGCCCATTCAACCAACTTCGTATCTGTTACAGCTTCCGATATCCCAATGGTGAGGGTCGAATTAGAAACACCCCGTATATTGCATCATTCATTCCAATACTATTTCCAATAACAATGTTTGGAGAGAGATATAATACCCTCCCAAGCACTACCTGAAAAATGTAGTGATGCATTAACAGGATTTATTTATTGGAGAAAACAATAAAGAGCAAAGCGTATTTCCAGCG